GGGAAATCGCCTGTGGCCCCATTCCACAGGGGGCCGAGTGAAACTAAGTGGCTCACATGTTGGCTTCAGCCCCGAGCAGTGGGGCTCAGGCTTTAGCTTCTGCCCCCGGCAGCAGGGTGTCTAACACCAGCCCTGGCGACCCCATTAAAAGAAACTTGTGATCCACTTTGGGGTCGCGACCCCCAGTTTGAGAACCGCTGCTCTAGAGGGAGATGAGACACACTTTGCCAGTCGGTTTCACTGATATTTACTGGCCGCAAAGGTATGTTCAGGCACAGGAATCCTCATTTCTATTGCAAGTTCCTGGAAGTAGTGTCATCCAGGGGATACAGAAGCTGCAGACCCTGTCCTTCCGTCCCAAGCCTGAGCCATTCTGCCTAGTTGCCTAGCATGTCCCCCTGTGCTTCTGTACCTCCCACCCCAGACTGCCCTGTTACCCCTCTAGCTCCTGTCCCTGTCCTCACTCTTCTTTAACAAACTCTATTGAACATGACAAACTGTGATTTTCAGATGGTTATAACTCATCCAGATTGGTATGGATTTTCAAGCAAGAGATACCTTTTTGCTGCTAGGGTGAACCCCCTACCAAAATTCCACTCGCTACTGCACTCTATATTAGATGCTAAAGGTGCTCATCAAAATGGTTGCAAGAATTTAACACTGTTTTGCCAATGTACTTTTCCCTAACCTTGTTCTGAGAAATAGCTGAACTATTTTTGCTGTTTTTTGTTTTTATTTTCCAGAAACATTCAACCTGAGATGAAGATGCAGCATGAAAATTTCAGCCTGAACTAACAATGTTTGGCAAAGTTGTAAGCAATGAAAATGCTTAGAATGGAAAGTGTTAGCCAACATTTACTATTGGTGGTGCTGCAAGCTCCACCTATAATTTCCGTAGATTCCAAGGCCAGAGGGGCCCATCGTATAACACAGGCCATAGAACTTCCCCAAAATAATTCCTAGAGCATTTCTTTTAGAAAAAATATCCAGTCTTGATTTAAAATTGCCAGTGATGGAGACGCCTCCATGACTTTTGCTAAATTATTTCAATGGTTATTACCCTCAGTTTAAAATTGACACACTATTTCCGGTCTGTATTTGTCTAGTTTCAACTTCCAGCCATTGGATTGTGTTATAACTTTCTCTGTTAGACTGAAGAGTCCATGATCAAATATTCGTTCCCATGCAGGTACAGTAACTCCTCACTTAAAGTTGTCCTGGTTAACCTTGTTTCGTTGTTACGTTGCTGATCAATTAGGGAACATGCTCGTTTAAAGTTTTGCAATGCTCCCTTCTAAGGTCGTTTGGCAGCCGCCTGCTTTGTCTACTGCTTGCAGGAGGAGCAGCCCGTTGCAGCTAGCTGGTGGGGGCTTGGAACCAGGGTGGACCGGCAGCCCCCCTATCAGCTCCCCACTCCCCTAAGTTCCCTGTGCTGCAGCCACCCAGCAGGCTAGCAATTGCAGCTGTCCCTCCCCACCCCTGCCATGTGCTGCTCCTGCCCTCTGCCTTGGAGCTGCTCCCCGAGTATTCTGCTTGCTGTGCGGGGGGGAGGAGGAGGGAAGGAAGAGGAGGGGTAATATCAGGGTGTCCCCCTCCCCCCTGCTCCTGCACCCCACTTACCCCATCTTCCATAGAGCAGGGGGGACACACCAGGGCTCAGGATGGAGGGAGCTTGCAGCAGCTGGTCTCAGCAAGCTGATCTAATTAACAAGGCAGTGTACTTAAAGGGAGGAAATGCGCATCTCTCTCTCTCACACATACCCCCTCCCTCCATTCCTGCTGCCTTGCAGAGTGAGAGAGTTAACCCTTGAGGGCTCAGCCAATTGCTAGTTCATCATTTAGCAGTAAGGGAAATATCCCACCCTCTGTCTCCTCCACCAAGGTTCACAATCATCACTGTGTACCAGTATTAAATTGTTTGTTTAAAACTTATACTATGGGTGTGTATATATATGTCTTTTGTCTGGTGAAAAAAATTGCCCTGGAACCTAACCCTCTCATTTACATTAATTCTTATGGGGAAATTGGATTCGCTTAACATCATTTCGCTTAAAGTCGCATTTTTCAGGAACATAACTACAACGTTAAGCGAGGAGTTACTGTACTTACAGTCTGTAATCAAGTCCCTTCTTAACCTTCTCTTTGTTAGGCACAAGAAGCTCAATCTATTTAACTTATTTCTATAAGTAGGCTTGGCAGAATTCAAATTTTATTGTTTTTTATAATTTTGACAGATATCAATGTATATTTGTAAGCATTTTTCTCATTAACTATTTAAAGTTCCAAAATTGTGCAAAATTATATGTTAAGTATTTTTCATTCATTTTTATCTATAATCTTTCACAGTTGTGGGAAATTATGGGGGGCAGACAACAACGGGTATCAGATAATTATTTAATGACAGCAATGTTGAGATTCAAAAAGTTAAAGCTTTATAATCATTAAAAACAAAATGTCAACATCACATATATGTTTTAATATACAAAATAAATATCCTTGAATCAAACTAAGTTCTTAAGCAGTATTTTTCTTACTTTACCTATCTGTAAATTTCAATGATTTTTTATGGAAACTTTTTTTTTTGAGTGTGTGTGTGTATGGTGAAACGGACACCAAGCTAATTCTTCCAAGCCTAACTCTAAGGCACATTTCCTAATCTTTTAATCATTCTTGTGGTTCTTCTCTGAACCCTCTCCAATTTATCAACATCTTTCTTGAATTATGGACATCAGGACTGGACGCAATATTCCAGGAGCTGTCACACCAGTGCCAAATACAGAGGTAAAATAACCTCTCTGCTCCTGCTTGAGATTCCCCTATTTATGCACCCAAGGACTGCATTAGCTTTTTTGGCCAAAGCATCACACTGGCAGCTCATGTTCATCTTATTATCCCCCATGACCCCAATTCTTTTTCATAGTCACTGCTTGCCAGGAAAGAGGTCCCCAAGTATAGCCTACATTCTTTGTTCCTACTTGCATACATTTACATTTAGCCATATGAAAACACATTATTTGCTTGCGCCCAGATTACCAAGCAATGCAGATTGCTCTGTATCAGTGACCTGTCCTCTTCATTATTTACCACTCCCCAAATTTTTCTGTCATCTGCAAACTTTATCACTGATGACTTTGTGTCTTCTTCCAGGTCATTGATAAAAAGGTAAAATAGCAGAGGGCCAAGAACTGATCCCTGCAGGACCCCACTAGGAACACAGCTGTTTAATGATTATTCCCTACTTAGAATTCTATTTTGAGACCTATCAATTAATCATTTTTTAATCCATTTAATGTGTGCCATCGTAATTTTATATTGTTCCAATTTTACAAAATGTTGTATGGTACCAAGTCAAATGCCATACAGAAATATAAGCACATTACATCAACACTATTCTTTTCATCCATCAAATTCAGAATCTCATAAAAAAATTACATAAAATTAGTTTGAGAAGATTTTCCATAAACCCATGTTGATTGGCATTAATTATGTTACCCTCCCTTAATTCTTTATTTATGCAGTCCCATATCAACCACTCCATTTTCTTGCCTATGACTGATGGCAAACTAAGAGGCTTATAGTTACCCGGGTCATCCTGCTTACCCTTTTAAAATACTGGCATAACATTAATTTTCTTCAGTGTTCTGGAACTTCCCCCGTATTCCAAGACTTATTGAAAATCAACATTAATGGTCCGATGAGCACCTGAAGCAGCACTTCAAAAACTCTTGGGTGCAAGTTATCTGGACCTGCTGATTTCAAAGTGTTTAATTTTAATAGTTACTATTTAACATTCTCCTGAGAACACCAGTGGAATGGAAAGAGTGTTATTATCATGACTACATCATCTGTTTTCTCCCTGCAAACACAAAACAGAAATATTTAACACTTCTGCTTTTTCTCCATAATTCTACCATTTCCATCTAGTAATAGATAATAATTGACCTAGATAATCCTAACTAGGGATACCTAGCATTTGTAGAAGACTTGCATTTTCAAACTAGCCATTAATCAAACTTCACAACATCTCTTTTGAAGTAGATGGCTAAGACTTATTTGCCTAGTGGGGAAACTGAGGCAAAGAAGGTACATGTTAGCCATTCTTCAACGAAAAAACTTCAGAAACTGACTTCAAAGAGAAACTGCAGAGCTACAATTTATTTGCAAACTTAAACACCATCAATTTGGGCTTGAATGGGGACTAGGAGTGGCTGGCTCACTACGAAAGTAATTTTCCCTTTCTTGGTATTGATACCTCCTCATCACTTATTGAGAGTGGACCACATCCACCCTGACTAAACTGGCCTTCAACATTGGTTCTCCACTTGTAAGGTAACTCCCTTTTCTTCATGTGCCTGTATCTGTAATTTTCACTCCATGCGTCTGAAGAAGTGGGGTTTTTACCCAGGAAAGCTTATGCCCAAATAAATCTGTTAGTCTTTAAAGTGCCACCGGACTCCTCGTTGTTTTTATGATTTGTGCAAGGTCACAAAAGAAGTTAGCGCAGGACCAGAAACAGACCCTCCCCAACTCAGTGTCCCGACTAGTTCCAGGCCCTTCTTCTAACCAAATGTGCCCTCTTTAATTTATAGCACCACCACTACCACTTGCCAAAAGGAATAAATTGTGGGGCGGCAGCCTGCGGTCGCCACCAGGTGCTCACCCCGCGACAGACGGCGGCACAGGGCGTGTGACCCGGCCCTGGCGAGCGGCGCCGGAGCGCCACACGCTGTCAAGCAGCCAGGTTAGTTATTAAGAGGCACAGGGAGGACTAACGGTCAGTCATAAGGAGCGTCCTGTTGGGGGGGGAGGCTGGGGAGCCGGGTCCGGGGGGCAGGAGAGGGGCTAGTGGGGCGCGGGTGCCTGCCGGGGCGGTTCGAGAGGGGCCCAGCTCCCCAGCAGGGGCGTGTTGGGACACAGCGGCCCGGGGATGTCTCGGACCCTGCCCACGGTCTCTCCGCCCCGCCAGGCTCCAGCGATACAGCAGCGCCAGGCTCACTTACCGGCCGGGCCCCGCTCGGCTCCGTGTTCGCAGCCCCAGAGACCAGGGAGCGTCAGTGACAACGTCCCGGAACGGCTGGGTCCCACATCCGGAGGCGGGGCCGGCCGCTGCCGGCGGGAAGGAGGTTGCAGGGGCTGGTATGGCGGGGCGCCCGCCGCCTCTTACAGCGGCTCCGGGAGCGGCGGGGTCGGATCTTCTACAGCCGCTGCGGCGCTGCCCCCTCCCCAGAGCAGCGCTTGGGCTGCCAGTGCCAGCGGGGCTGTTTGGTCCCCTGCGCTGTGTGAGCGCGACCGTCCCCCGGCAGGGAAAGGTGAGCGCACCGGGGTGACCGAGTGTGGCCTCCCCCTGCTCCCATGGTAGGTGTGGGCGGGTGAGAGCTGGGTACCCCACCGTGATGCACGCCCTAGGCCCAGCACTGCTACGCAAACTGTGCACTAATATCGATGTAGAATTGACTGGTGGTGCCCCATGAAGTACCGTTGCTGGTTCAGGTTTGAAAATGCAGTTGGCGCCACCTCTATTCAACATCCTGTCTCCTCCCCTTCTGTTCTACTCCTCCTATTAAGATTCCCTGGGGCCCTTTCTGCTGCAGCCTACCTTGCCTAGGGCAGCTGGTTTCCCTTTGCCTATTATGGACTCCCCCCTCCCCGCAGTGGCTGGTCTGAGTCCCTCTGTCTGTATCCAGGGGTTTCGTTAGGGAACAGTCAGCTTCTTTTATAAAGCAGCCTCAGCAGCAGACCTTGTTGGCAGGTCTAACTCTCTTCTTTGAGGTGGGCAGGCTGGCACACAAGGGTGCAGAGCTGGGAGCATTATGTAGGTGTTCAGTGTTGTCTGGAACCTCAACTTTAGGCTATTCTCTTTAGTGTACATTAATGCTACTTAGTAACCATTTAAAATGGTTATGTTTTGTAGTAGCATTACTCTAATAGAAGCATTTGTTTATATAGCTATATTGTCTTTAATTTTATCCAAAAATGTGGAAGTTCAAATACAACTGTACAAACAATTTATGCATATGCTTTTCCCCCTTAAAAAAAAAATGTACAGATGGCATGTGCTGTCCAAAAGCGAAGAATCCAACTAACTGGATTTAAGAAACAAGAAAAGGAGGCTATAGTTGAATTACTACTTACACTGGACTGTGTTTTTATTGATACTGAGGTGAGCATATACCTTTGTTGTTTCATTCATTAAATTCACAGATGAAGCAAAAGGAAGCAGCAGATAAGATAGAAGTCTATAGATAAATAGGCTGGATAATGGTCTAGACTTAAGTTTGTGCTAGTAGCTAAAAAAAATTTTTTTTTTTAAAAAGCCATTTTCAATGACACTTCTGTTTTTCTTTTGTTAGCAATACAGAAATTGCACACATCTTATAGCAAAACAGCTTTCCAAGAGTGAAAAGTTCTTAGCAGCTTGTGCAGCAGGTGAGTAACAAATTGTGGTATCCTCTTTAACTGTATCAGTTAATGAACAAATAAAGTTATTAACCTTTTTTCATAATTGTTCTTATCTTTGCTAATAAACAAGACTTTTGCTCAAGCTTGGATTTGCTTCCTCTCACCTTATCTCTTCCCCTTATTTGACTGAAATCAGTAAGTCTGTTACCCCACAAAAAGATAACTATTACCTTAGCCAACAATTAAGACTGAGAAGTCACAAGTTATTTATTAGAGAGAATAAAAAGTATTGGAATACTTGCTATTGGTAGCATACAATTCTGACACTAAACTTCACACTAACATTCACTCACAGACTGCAAACTTCTGCCTGCACAGCAACCCCCTATGGCCAAAAGAAAAACCCCTTACCTCTGCCTTATTATAGACTCTAGACCCCAGTTTTACTCCTTTGTTCTTTTCATATCTGTGGCCTGATTCTGTAATTGCTTGATTAACGGTTTTAAGGTTTTCAAGATGAGACCTCTATACTGTAAGAAGTTTTTGATGAAGGGCTTCCTGGAAGGGCTCTATGGTGTTTACAGGCTGTGGTTATGGATGTAAGTTTTGCAATGGCAATATATTGATATGGTAACTATTTTGAGTATTATCCTATTTTCTTTTCATCATACTTGTGTCCTATATATTAGGTGTTGAAGCATATATATTACTAATAATTATTTGAATTACCATAGTGGTTAGGGGCCCTAGCCTACACCAGGAGGGCCGCCTTATACTAGGTGCTGTACGAACACACAACAAAAAGATGGTCTGTACCGCAAGGGGCTTATGATCTAAGCATAAGATAAGACAAACATATGGGAGAGCTCAAGTAAACAATGAGAGGTATAGGTCAGCATGGTAGGCAGTGGACTTTGCACATTAGCAGCCTAACTTACGTTTTTCATAGGCCTCACTGCAACGGGGAATGTTGGGGAAGGATTTGAGGATGAATAATGAGGTAGGCTTGTGAATATTTAAAGAGAGAACCTCCCAAGTGTGTGGGGCAGCCTGGGAGAAAGCATGGACAAGTGGGCAGTGGAATCTGACATCATGGAATGATTGGAGGTGAGTGTTAACACGTCAATAGTGAATATGAGACAATAGGGTGGGGATAGGCCATGTGGGGCCTTGAAAGAGAATACAGGCAGCTTATGTTTGATTCAATAGAGAAGGGAAGCCAGTGAAGTGATTCAATGAGAGGAATGACATGGTTGAAGTGATGGGCTAGGAAAGTCTTAGTATCTGCATTTTAAATGGATATGAGCAGGGCATGATTGCATTTGTTAAGGCCAGAGAGAAGGGTGTTCCAGTAACTGAGACATGAATGATGAGAGCTTGAAGGAGAGTTTTGGCTGTGTGGATGGATACTACGCATAAAGAATTGGTAAGATTTAGATGCAGCCTGGATATGAAGCCTAGAGAAAGGGTGGAGTTGAAGATGACACCCATGTTACAGGCCTGAATGACAGGAAGGATGGTAGTGTTATCTACAATGATTGAGAAAAAGTAGTAGGGAAGGGTTTGGGGGAAGGGAGATTAGCAGCTTTATTTTAGCCATGTTTAGCTTGAGCTGGCAGCCAGATCATCTCAGGGAGGCAGGTCGTGATTTTAGTTTGGACAGAATGGGACAGGTCTGGAGTTAACTCACAAATCTGCCTCTTATCAGCATTAAGATAGTGGTTGAATTTGTTTGTGAATTGGATTACCCAGAGATAAAGTGCAGAGGGAGAAGAGAACAGAACCAAGGATGGAGCCCCCACATAAAGTTACAGGATGGATGAGGATCCTTCAGAGGACATGCTGAAGGAGCAATTAGAGAACCCTTAAATAAGAGAGTTACAGAAGCCAAGCAAGGACAAGATTTCAAGACTGTATCAAAGGTAGCTGACAAGTCAAAGAGGACGTGGATGGAGTACTGGTTCTGAACTTTAGCTAGGAAGAAGGCATTAGAGATTTTGGTAAGAACCATTTCAATGAAATATAAGGGCAGAAGCCAAATTGGAAAGGGTCTAAGGTGGAACTGGAGGAGAGGAACTCCAGAAGGTGATTGTAGACAAGAGCATTCAATGATTTTATAGATAGATGGGAGATGGGGAAGTAGTTATAGGTAAGTGGGGTTAAGATATTGTGTTTGGGGTTTTTTTGAGATGGAGAGACTAAAGCATGCATGTATGCTGGAGTCATAGGTTCAGGGCAACTGCACTCTTGTTTCCCCTCAGTGGTCCAGCAAGGACACCATTTTTAGGCTGCCAGCTCCCCCGTCTGGCACCTTTCTTGGGTGGAGAACCCCATCTCTCTCCCTTCTGACCAGGGTATCTCCAAGCTACACAGATCCCTGCCTTCACTGAGTTGTTCCAGCACAGACAGGTTGTCCAAGGAATACCTGTTTGTTTCTCGTCAGAGATGGTTAACCGGTGTAATTGCTACAGTTGTAAGTACCCCAGAGTTCTTTCTATGCAAGCCTACTTTATCTGTAAAGTTTTTTACCTTTATTTTAATGTGTTGAAAACAAACAAAAACCTTACATGCATGCTAATAAATTTACCAGACATCATCCCAATCCTAACATGGGTTCTGGCAGGAGCAGTCCTTCAACCACCATTCCCACCTAAAGGGATTCCTTGTGGTTACTAGTTCATCACTGCTGCAGCTTAGAACAACTCCTTAGTCCAATGGTTCTCAACTTGTGGGCCCAATCAGCACACAGCTGTGGCCCAGGTGACATCCTCAGGGCCATACAGGTAGTATATATATATTGTGTGGGTGTGGCCCACATCACAGAGAGCTGCATATGCAGCCCACAGTGGTAAATAGGTTGAGACCCACTGCCTTAGTCTTATGAGACCTCAGTAGTCCCAGTCCTTCCAACCCTACCTTAAGGATTGGGGCCCTCCATGGACCAGGGTTCTTGTCCATTTGCTGGCTCAAGAAGGCCCATAGCCAGTTTTAAACCAGGCTGTTTATCCAAAAGTCTTTTTCTATTGGTCCCTGGAGAATCCTGTCTGAATTAATATATACACATAGCTCTGCAAGGGGGTGGCTTCAAAGGGATGATAACAGAAGGAAGTACATCCTCTCTCCCCACCACCACCACAAGAGAAGGTACATACAATGCCACAATAACACATGCACAATTGTTTTTATAATACAGTGTACCTCAAATGTATTCACCCTAATTTGATAAGATTTAATTCAATAAAGTTAATCTTAATTCTGTAAGATTTGTTTAGAATATTACAGAATGTTGTCAGTCTGTCACAGTTTGAATTTGAAGACTGGTATAAGGCTAACAGGCTTATATACACAGATATGCTAAATCAGTATTTACTGATAATTGTAAAATTGTTCAGTTGTATTGGCATTTAAATGCCAATGAGAGACACCTTTTAAAATTCTAGCATCTAATGACAATTGGCTATATGTGGGTAGACTCTGGCACCCCATGCAGAACCTTATTGAAGTCAGGGCTATAGAATTTAGGTCCTGATCCTGCAGCAAGTTCTATGCCTGCAAAAGCAGACAAGGTTCTATTTGTGCTGGAATTCCTTGCAGGATTGGGGCTTTAATGAGAGAGGTTAAGTGATTTGCTTGAAGGCATAGAGAGAACTGGTGTCTGAGTCAAGATTGAGTC